AAATCGAATATTGGTTCAGTTGATGCAAAGTGTAGATGTGTGTTGTGTTTTTTAATGGTGAGATTTGCTGTAAAGCTTACTGAGGTTACTTTGAATTCCAGCATTTTGGATCAAGAAGCAACAAATGTGTAAATTATTGTGTCAGCTGCAGCACTTTCTGCCCGGCAGGCACAATTTCACCCAAATGACAGGAACACAAACAGTGGCAGCAGTGAAACTTGGCGCTTTCGCTGGGAACGTGCCGCGTGCTCGGATCGGCGCATGCTCTCGTGTTCGGTCAGAATGGAAACGGAGCTTCGGCTCCACAAGTCCAGCAAACCCACAGAAAGCTGAGTCAGCGCTGCAGATTATAGGCTCGTGTGCAGCTGCTGGAGCCTTCTGTGGAAACGCCAGCGCTCATCCGTCTGTCTGTGTGTCCTCAGCTCTCAGTCAGATCATGCTGTTTGTGGACGGCATGAACGGAGTGATCAACCACAACGAGACGGTGCAGTGGCTGTACACGCTGACGGCAAGTTCGGTGAGTCCTGGGACCTCAGAGCAGCGGCGCGACGCCACCTGCTGGTCAAACACTCAACACGTTTTTCTGTTTTAGTCTCGCCTGGTGGTGAAAACTGCCCTGAAGCTGCTCATCGTCTTCGTGGAGTACTCGGAGTCCAACAGTCCTCTGCTCATCAGAGCCGTCAACACCGTGGCTGGACAGAGAGGTGCGCACAAAAACACAGATGTAGGATCACATGTAACGTGTCTGTAACGTTTACTCTCATTAGCTGCTCCGTGTGACCTATCACCTCTTCCTCTGACGGATGCCCTGAATGTGACGTGTAGCTTCACCAGGTGCTCAGCCGATGATGATCAGGTGTTTTTTGTGTGTGTCTGGCAGGTGTGAAGCCATGGAGTTATATGATGGAGGTCCTGGAGGAGAGGAACGGCGCCGACACGGAGCTGCTCGTGTTTGCCATGACACTCATCAACAAGGTAAGCAACATTTCCAAATGTGAGAAGGTCAGAAGTTCGGAAGTACAAACTCGCTCACTCACTCTCCTCCGTGTGCTTCTCAGACTCTGGCGGCGCTCCCGGACCAGGACTCGTTCTACGATGTGACGGACAAGCTGGAGCTGCTGGGGATGGAGGCCGTCATCCGCAAACACATGAACAACAAGGGAACAGAGTCAGACCTGCGGATGCAGTTCGCCATATACGAGGTGACGACGAAAAACAGGGATTTAAATACATTTACATGTTTGAGGAACACATGCTGCCTCCAAACAGACGTCTTCTTCAGCGCTACAGCTGCTGTGGCTCAACCTTTACAAACATTTACTGTTATCAATAAAAAATCGTGGCTCCATCTCGGCTTTATTTGCATTTTGCACAACATCCCAACATTGAGTGCTGATACGGCGAGATTTAGGATGTGTGTCAGTGCACAGCGATGCCGCTTCAGTGTGTAACGAGCAGCAATCGCAGGATTTATGGCGCTAATATGAGAAGCATTGAATTTATGAGCCGCACGTCTGTAATCATGTGACTTCTGTTACCCCTTATATGAGGGATCTTAGAGCATGCTCAGTCTGTCTTTGTGTGTGTGTGTG